TTTTGGAGAGATTTTTGCTATAGGGCGCGTGCGCTCGCCAGACAGACAGAGACATAAAGACAGAAAGCGAGAAATCACCCCCCGGGGGGATGGTCACGCCGCAATCCCTTCTCCTCCACTCTCCTCTCGGGATCTTGGGCACGCACGCACACGCCCCCGCCCTGAGTTTTAAGCCACCGGGTCCAGGACGCGAACCACGATCGACTACGTGGGAGTCCAGCGACATAGCCATTACGCTAACTGCTGGTTCCCACAGCATTACTCTTCTGCTTGATACTCAGCTGCACCCACATTAGAAATTTAGTAAAAACTACATAATGATTCTACTTTGAAGTTTTACCCATAGACTAACACGCTTTGACCAAAAGTCTAACCACATACCAGATAAACTGCTTAGAGTAAATCTTTTCTTAATGAAGAATTCTTACTAATTCTTCTTTTAAAAATATTCTACCTTTATTCTGATGTATTAATAGTTGGGTTGATCAAGAAAATAAAGGCTAAGGGTCATCAAGCTAACTTCCTTAAAGAAAAAAAATAGAGGAAAAGCTTTTCCAACTACCTTTGTATGAAGACAATACGAAAATGAGTAAATGGAATAAATAATTCAGGTACAGACTAAAATAAAGGGACATTTATAATGTATTTGGCAATCAATATGTAAGTATATATTTAAATTTCAACTTACATATGTAAGATCACAGCCAAGGAGGTTAGTCACAATTTAAAATTTTATCACCACCTATTTTTACCATCTTCTCATATCTATGACTTTACTTATGACTTTATGACTTTACTGCCAATCCTGATGTACGAATTTGTTTAAATGTAATAATTAAGGGCCTTTCCTCTTTTGGATGGGTATAATTAAAAAATTAAATACCATATTAAAGATATTACTAAAGATAGTTTACATTTTAATTATGGCATCTACAATGAATACCTATAGGAATTTTTCTAATTAACCTTGAAATCTCACAACCTCCATTTAAAGAAATATTCTCTTCAAAATAATTAGACGGAATATTTTAACAATTAGAAACTTAGTCTCAAGACCCTATTTCCATAATAAAATATTTTAACAAAGTTCCTAAATATATTCTATATAAATTTTCTTGACCATAAGATGCCAAGTATATGGAGACGTGTTTACTGTAATAGGACAATTAGTGACATCGGTTTCCCACCAACCCACGGAGGATTATATGGGCCATTTCCACTGATTGGCAGGGGGGGCTTCCACTAATGGCTTCCCTGGTTTCCATTTAATCATTTTTCTCGCCAGACCTACTAGTTCATTTTCTTCCTGAAGAATCACCTCTTCTATTTGATCACCCTGAAGTTGGTCTTCTAATTTCTTAACATCTGATTCCGCTTTCACCATACCCAGCCTCTCCTTTGTTATCTGCTCTGTATATTTTCTATATGCTGCATTTTTAGGCATTTGCTGAAGAATTTCAAGAATCTTTGCATGCAATATTCTTAGGCGCTCATGTGGACTGTCGGACACATCCAACCTCACAAGACCCGTGATCTTCTTCAGCAAACCCGCCATGACAGCCCGGACAAGCGGACACCCAATAAATACATTTAAAATAAAAAAAGATAAGATTTTTTGAAGAGATCAATGAAACTCACACACCTCTAGTATGCACCTCCAGTGAGACTGATAAATTTAACCTATGATGAAGCATTGTAATTTATACATTTTTACTGGATGACATGAATAACTAAATTTATGAATCTTTCCATGTAGTCTACTTTAGGAAGTTAAAAACCTGTATTTTCTTATGAATCATATAGTAGAAAGAAGACATAAAAGAAACAGAAGTCTTGATTTAAATTACATCAAAACTTGGTGTTTGACCTAACAGCTAATTATTGTCTTTCATCATAGAAACTATTGATATTTTTGCAGTATCTTGTACGCTGCTCAATTTCTCTTCTAAGAAATAGAAACAATTTCAAATCATCTGTGTCATGATTTCAATTTTTAATGCTCCAGGCATGTCTTTGCAAAATGATAAGTTCTTGGAGCCAAAGTGTATCATGATTTGTGTAACACTAAAATGAAGGTACTTGAAATTTTTCAGAATTTGAATAAATTACTCCCCCATTGTTAGAGAGTCCTTTTATTATGTGGGTCTTTGTGTAGTTGGCTTAGTTAAAGGTCTTCGGCCTCTTATAAAACATTATATACAGCCTCACAATTTTTCTAAAATACGTCCTATAGCTGAAATAGTTTCTTTTTGCCATATTACCATCGAAAATGTGTGTGGGTGTGTGTATGTGTGTGTGCGTGCGCGAGATCCAAACCAATTTATTGTCCGGCCGAATTTGCAATCTGACATCCCCTTAATAATTATATATATATAAAAAAAACTTGTTCTGTTGTTGCTGACCAAACCATTCTGATTTCAGACAACTGATTTTGCTGATCTATTTAGAATGTTAGAGGAGAAAATTCTGATCAAATTCATCCGGTGTTTGTTTATAATTCTTTTATCATTTCTACTTTATCCTCTCCTTTTAAAAAGTTCAGTCATAGATTGCTTTCATAACAGAGAAGGAACGAGAAAGAGAGAGAGAGAGAGAGAATCCTCAACAGGGTGTTTTAAAAAAGTTTTTTATACATTCAATCTGTATATAATTAGAGCATACAAAATCAATTTTCCCAACATGAATACATTATATATTAGTACAGTTAAAGATATTACGATACATATTATCATCAACAGATAATTTTCCATTTTTGTTCCCCTTAAATATTGTGCTTCTTTTGTTTTCTCCTTGATCCCTTCTCACTCATCCTCCCCCATTTCCCAACCCTCCTCCCATACTGTCTCTAGTATTCACAGCTGCTGTCCTTGTCTTTATACCTTCTAATCTTTCAGTTTCTCCCACAGAGAGCAGGCATTCAGTATACATTGAGTAGGGATGTACAGTGCCTCTCTTTCACAGTCTGGCTTGCTTTGCTTAGTAGTAAATCTTCCATATTTGTCCACTTTCTATCAAATGCCAGAGTCTCACTGTTTGATATAGCTGAGTAGTAGTTCGTAGAGTAGATGTGCCACACTTTTTCAATCCATTCATCTGTTCGTGGACATTTGGGTTGGTCCCATGTCTTAGCAATTGTGTATAATGTCACAATAAACATGGATGTGCAAGTGTTTCTCTGACTGAGTGGATTCCTATCCTTTGGGTAGGGGAAGCATTGCTGGATCATATGGTAGTTCTATTTGTAGGTCCTTGAGGAACCTCCATATTGTTCTCCACAGTGGCTGTACTAACTTACATTCCTACCAACATCATAGGAGAATTCCTTTTTCACCACAGCCTCACTAGCACTTATCATTCTTTAATATTTTAATCTTAGCCATTCTGACTGGGGTTAGGTGGTATTTCATTGTGGTTTTGCTTTGCATCTCCCTTATGATAAAGGATGTCAAGCATTTTTCATATGCTTTTTGGCCGTTTGTATGTCTTCCTTAGAAAGTTGTCTGTTCAGTTCATTTTCCCATCATTTAATTAGGCTGATTATCATTGTTATTATTATTATTATTATTACAATTTTGCCGGTAAGCTGTTTGAATTCCCTGTATATTCTGGTTATCAGTCCCTTAGCTGAAGCATAGTTTGCAAATATTCTCCCCATTCTGAGGGTTGTTGATGCACTTATTATTGTTTCTTTTGCTGTGCGGAAACTTTTTAACCTGATGTAATACAAGGCTATTTTAAGGATTGTTGTCTATTTTAGGGATTATTGCCTGTGCTTTTGGGGCCTTATTTAAGAAGGCCAGCCAGCACCAATACAGAAAGTTGTCATCATGGACTGGAGCCCAAGGTTATTTTGAACTGGCAGGTAAATCAATTAAATTCCCCTTGGATACAGGGGCTGCCTACTCGGTCCTGTTCTCCTGCTCTGGACCCATTTCTCTGCTGATAAGTCTAATGGTTAGAACCAATAGCAGATCTTCCAAATGCCCCTTCACAAAACCCTACCTTTGCCTCATGATTTCCTGGATTATAACATAGAATTCTGATTTGCATTTTTGGCCCTTGTTTTTTGTTTTGTTTTGTTTTGTTTTTGAATTTCTAGACTAATTCTATTTCTTCTTATTATTATTATTTATACATTCAATCACTATACATCATTTAGATTGTAAAGAGACTTTACTCAGCATGATATACACCTCAGTCCAGTCCAACTGAGAATACTATACACATCATCATCAAGAGGTAATAAATCATATCTGTGTCCCACAAATGTCTTACCTCTCTATTTGTTTCCTTGAATTTCCTTTCCTACCCTCTTCCCCTCCCACACTCTCCTTCCACTTTGTCTCTAGTGTCCATAACAATTTTCAATGTTTGTATGTCCTCCAGTCTTTCCGTCTCTACCATAGAGTGTGGACTTTATTCACTAGATTTGTTCCTATTCATCTAGACGCAGCCTCTCATCAAGTGCTAGTTTAGTCAGATCCCACTACTACCATTTCGCAGATCTACCAGAGCCCCTAGATAGACTTCTATGGAAAACTCTCTGACTGCCATTCCCCATCATCATCATCCTGTCTCAGTAGAAAGTGGCCAGAATGAGTCTTTGGTCCTTTTTGTTAAGGATAGTTCTTCAGAGGAGGGGATTGAAACAGGGATTAGACCTAGCGAGTAGACAAATAGGGCAGGATCCCCAAGGAAGAGTCACTACGATAGAAAGTGGATACACATATATACTAAGATAGAGCCAACTTGTAAAATGGAATCACTCTGCTCAAGCTTTTGAGAAGGGTCATTCATTGCTCTCACTAGAGATCAAGTATTAGCTCTCACACTTGTTCACATGGGGTTTCTTACAACAAGAGCTGTTTTACCGCTTCCTTGGTCTTTCTAGCCTGTCAGGAAATGCAACCAGACTCTCTTTGAAGATTTTTTTCCTCCCACCCTTCCCAACTGGTTCTTGACACCAGGGTAAAAACCTGTCTTCTTTCTGCTGTCCCAGATAAACACACAGAAATTCACCACTGGGATGGAACGCTCAGTCAGCATCTGGACAGTGCATCCAGATATGGATGCGCATTCCTTCAGAGACCAACCTGGGCATGTGTGAGTAGATGGTTAAATTCCTCACCTGAGAGAGCTGTGTACATGCAGGAAAAAGCCTGGGAAACCAACAAATAAGCCTGATACTAATGACAAACCTTCCCCTGCTAATAATTATTCATTACCGTTACCAACCCCCAGGATAAAAATGACACCTAACCTCATGCCTAAAGGCAGTTGTCCTTTTCTGGCAGCTGCTCACCCACATACCTTTTAGGCATGGGGATGTATGCCCTCCCTATTAGAAATCTTTACTTTTCTATTACAATTTCTCTTTTCCTACTTAAAAGAAAAAGTCTTTGCTTACTTCGATGTCTACAAGAGTTTCCCCTGTGTCATCCACCTGTAGTTTTATAGTTTGAGGTCTTGGGTTTAGATCTTTGATCCTTTTTGAGTTGATTTTTGTTAATGGTGAGAGATTGGGGTACAGTTTCATCTTTCCAGCACCATTTGTTAAAAAGATGTCCCTCCCCCCCCACACACACACACACTGGATTGTCTGGTGCTCTTTGTCATAAATCAGTTGGCTGTATGCTTTGGGGTTTATTTCTGGGGTCTGTATTCTGTTCCATTGTTCTACATACCTGGTTCTGTGCCAGTACCAGGCTGGTTTTATTTATTTAATTAATTTATTTATTTTGAGAGTTTTTGGTATAAGGCACATGTGCTTGCAAGAGAGATGGAGAGACAGAACATGAAATAATCACCTCCTTGGGGGATGGCCATGGCACAATCCCTTCTCCTCCATCCTCCTCCTTTGGGCACACACGGGCACACACCTAGTGTAAGTTTCAAGCCACCAGGTCCTGGAATCCAATCATGGTCGGCTATGTGAGAATCCAGTGCCTTACCCCACTATGCCAGCTTCTGAACCTCCATGCTGTTTTGATCATTACAGCTTTGTAATATATTTTGGGGTCAGTGAGTGAGATGTCTCCTACTGCACTCTTCTTGTGCAGTATTGCTTTGGCAATACAGGGTCTTTTATGATTCCAGACTAATTCTAATTCTACGATTATTTTTTTCTGAATCTGTGAAGAATATCCCTGGTAATTTGATTGAGGTTGAAATAAATTTGTAGATTAATTTGGGTAGAATTGACATGGCGATTGTATTATTTCTTCCAATCCCAGACCATGGAATGTCTTTCTACTTTTTGGTGTTGTTTTCCATTTCTTTTCTTTTTGTTTTGCTTTGTATTTGTTTTGTTTTGTTTTGTTTTTCTTTGTAGAGGTCTTTCACTTCTTTGGTTAGGTTTATTCTATTCCTAGGCAATGTATCCTTTTTGAGGCTCTTGTAAGTGGAATTGCTTTCTTCAGTTCTACATTGGTCTGTTCATTGCTGATGTTTAAAAAAGCTATAGATTTCTGTAGGTTGATTTTGTATCCTGCCATTTTATCAAATTCATTTATCACTTCAAGGAATGTTTTTGTCAGTTCTATTGGCTTTTATATG